GGGGGGGAGGTTACCACCAAATGTAAGTGTGTCTGCTGCGTCAAAGCCAGCCAAAGTTAAAATGGAAGAAAACAAGTTCCAGTGGTATTCCCATCGGCGTTTACAATTGACAAGAATCTTCCAAGACAAATGCACCTCCAACAATAACACCAAAATGGAACCAAACGAAACAAAGATGAAACTAAAGAAAACGAACAAACAAATAACAAACAAACACGAAAAGGAAACGATACAAAGACCCCCCCCCCCAAAAACGTAGACATTTAATGATCCGTCTTGACCTCGAAACGGGCTGTTCAACCAAACAACCCTCATCGACAAAAAACGGCCACCCAATCATTAACAAAAACTTTTTTTAAAAAAAAAAAGAAGAAAATATTTTAAAGAAATGTGTTCTGGTGACTGGGCCAGTGGTTTGAATCCTCGTTAAGATGTGCACGACACCGACCATTTCGGATGCCAAATTTCGGAAACGGAATGTCTTTGTTGCTCGAGGCCTGAAGAAAAGGAAAGGTGGTGATGGATCAAGAGACGGTGGAAAAAAAGGAGGAGGAAGGGACAGAGAGAGAGAGAGAGAGGAGGGGGAGGGGCATAGCGGAAGGACGCAGGAACGAGAACAGGGAGAATTCTTTATTGGGGAAAGTTGGGGGTGAGGTTCCATGATGCGCAAAACATGTTATGATTATAAGTTTGTGCTGCTGTTGATGTTGTAATTATTGTTGTTGTTGTTGCTTTCGTTTTTGCTATTGTTGATGTTGTTGTTGTTATCGTTTTTAGTGTTGTTGTTGTCGTTGTTTGTGGCGGTAGTGGTGTTGTGCTGTTGCTTTTGATGTTGATGGCATTGTGGTGTTGTGGATGACATTTCTCTTCTAACTCCATGCAGTTTTTAAGCTGGCATCATCGTTTTCAGTGTTTCCTTTGCTGCTTTTGCAGTATGGCTGAGTGGGTGGGTGGTAGGTTGGTACTCTGGTGTGGTATGCTTCTTCTTTCCTACCAAACATAATCATACTCATCTCTCCTCCTTTTTTTTGGGGGGGGGGGTTGTTACTCTCTTGTAACACCACTAATCCTCGGCACTTATATGAATTTATGTGTTGCAACTGCCATGGATCTCTTAATTTAAAAAAACCCCAGTCATCCCCCGACCCCCAAAAACCCTGAAAAACCAAACAAAGAAACAAATCCGAACAAACCTAAACACAAAACAGTAAGCATCGATCGTCCTCGACTCTCCTCTTTCTTTTCTTAGTATGTTACTCTCTAGTAACACCTATAATCAATCTTTGGCTGGCGCTTATAAGACCTATTTGTGAGGCAGCGTGGTGGAATCAGGCTCTCGTCAAAATAATCAAAGTGAAGAAACTTGCAAGTTCGTCAATTTTTATCAAATTTTTGTTTTTTGGCTCAACACCTTTCATGCCCGTTAAAGAACTCGTTTAGGTGTGGATTTTTCTGATAAAACGTTGATTAAAGGCACAACAAATGTAAATTTTCAGTTACCACGGACTGTTAAGCTAAGGAAATAACTAATCTTTGGCAGCCATTTTGTCACTAGTTTTACCTCTAAAAACAGTTCATTCGAAAATATCTCAACTTGTATTCAAGATAAATGGATATTTTTAAAATCCAAATAAAGATAACTGAACAAGCTTTAAGAAGATACCAATACATGCCCCAAAATTGACGAGAGCCTGATTCCACCACGCTGCCTCACATTTACATTGCAAGTTCCGTGAAACTTATACTCAATCTTAACTAAAACTAAAGCAATATGGCGGCATGTAGTCTGTGCCTTTGGTCCTTGCCCCTTCGGAGCAGCCTCTGATGTGCCATGGCCCCCTTCTATTTTATTTTGCAACTTGAGATGCGTTGGTTACATGTCTTGCTTGTCAGCTTGTATCTGTGACAGAGATACAGGAAGTAACACACACACACACACACACACACACACACACACACACACACACACACACA